AATTGTTTTGATGTTTTTCTGTGTGTGGAATAAAGGCAATAAAATACAATCAACTTATTGTAACCAATCTGAGCGGCTGAGTTTCAAAAATGATGATGAAAGCATTTTAAGTTTAAATTATGATGATTTTTATGAACTTTTATTCATTCTGTTGTACGTTGACAATTTATAAAATTACCCAAAAAGTTGGATATACAGATCATTTGGTACATCAGGTCTTAAGACACGTAGAAGTGTTTTTACAATGTGCAGAGCTTGTAATTGGTTTGGATTCCACTATAAACTGTGGGTCTAAAGGGTGTGCTACATTAGATTTTTTACAAATTGAATCAAAGTGTCTCCAGCTGAAAGGCTGGGCCCTTCACACATTATCATTATATAGATATAAAGAGCTAGGAACCTTTTTACGCACTAATAGTTCAAAATTCCAGAATAAAACTTAAACTACAAAATGTCTCGATTGTACAAAAAAAACTCTTCAGTCAAAGTTTTAGGCAAGATTAAAATCATTAAAAAATTGAATTTCGATTAATCCATTTAAGTCTGCAATAACTTATGAAATCAGAATTCATCGAAATTCGACTTTCAGCATAGACATGATTAAAAAGACACCTTTTATATTTCCACGACATAATTTATACTATAAACATGCACACAGACAATATCTTCATTCAATAGAAGAAAAAAGAAAATATTTATTCAAATTGAAAGTGAAAGGTAGTGTTGATGTCCAGCAATAAAAACGTCCTTCAATACATTTTTTTTCACATTCGTTATTGCTTCGTCTTTATTTTTTGCTTACTTTTCACTCTACAAGTGAACATGTTAAGGGAAGATTTTTTTTCCTTCTTTGCTTCATATGATGTGTAAACAAAGAGACACACTTCACAGCACACAACAATAAGACAATTTAATGACATACATACATTAATACATAATACGAATTGAAGTAAATGCCAACAAAATAGAAATTGAAATACGAGAACTGAAACAGAGATGATAATGAAAGTGAAAAAGTTTGGAAAGGGATGTAGAATGAAAGTAAAAGTTGCAAAGTCAATTATGCAGTTCAGTTGAAGATCAGACTGCAATTTATATTTTATCAAAAAAAAAAAAAAAAGAGTTTTTGAGTCAGAATAATTTTCACAATAAAAAAAGGATTATCATATGGAACGAATCATAAGGCCTCAAAAAGGCAATTTAAGTGAACAAAAGGAAAAAAGTAATCCATGACCCGAAAACAAGAAAAAAAGAACGAAATCGACTTTTCGCATTCAAAAAGATTTTTTTTTCTTTACTAAAGAATTTTTCATCAAAAGAAAAAAGAAAAAAAAATTTAAATCGAAAAACATAAAAATCATAATTTTAGGGCGGAGCGAAAAAAATGAAAAAAGAATGGAAAAAAATAAAATCATATTTTTCGGGTTTCAATTTTTTCAAACAGTTCGGAAATATACAGAAAAAACTTACATTATTTTTGGGGTGTTTTTTTGCCTCATTTTTCTAAATTTATTTGATTTTTTTCTCTTCTTCTCTTTTACTACAATTTTAGTTTTTTTTTTCTTCTCTCGTTTGTTATAGAATGGTATTTATGTATGCGGTGGTAGGGGATTTATAGTTTTTGTTCAAGTTGGAATTATCTTTCACTTTCATTGCAGTTTGCATTCAAAACGCATTTTCAATAGATCGTTAACATCGAGCTGAAAGATAGTTTTTTGATTACTAGGTCGACACCAATCTTGCTGTCAATTTCAAGTCAGATTGTGTCATTTGAGTGATAAATATCGAATAGAATAAAACTTTTGCTCTTGCATTGGTTGTACTTCGAAGAATTATTCATTGTTTATGAAGAAAGTTCAGGAATCAAGTATTGTTTCTCATTCTTGAAACAGTAAATTATCATTCTTTACATATTTAGAAATAAGTAAGATGTGATGATTAATATAACATGCTGAATTTGTATAAACCAGACTTACGATATTAAAATTAAATCTTAAATAATTCGATGCATTGTTAAAAAAGTCTAAAATTGTGCATTATTCATGTTTATGAATCACATTTGGAATCAAACTTAAATAAAAGTATTTTATAAATTTTTAAATAGCCAAACTTACTTAGAAACTTAACATTAATTTAAAGAGTCTATTGATATTTAAATATCACATTGAATATTAGGATGATGTTATAAAAATTGTTGCCAAGTGCTTTCGAAACTGTTCTTTAATTTTAATTCTTTTTAAGTCCTTTACTATTTTGTTCAAATTATTGGAATGTCTGAAATTGTTATGATATTTTAATATTGACCTTAGTTTTAAGCAACCCCTCTTATGACAAACGAGACATCCAGACAAAAAGAACTCTGTGCACAACATCATACACATTCAATTCCCTTCTATAAATAAGGGAAACCCTTCTTTCCCGTAAATATTTTTGTAAATATTTTTGTTTAAAATTTTTTAGGAGAAAAAAAAAGAAACAGAAAAAATTAAATCAATAATAATCGAAAAATCATTGAAAGCTGATGGGCCACGAGTTTTTTGTGATATTTTTATATATCATCGATGTTATTTCATTCCGTTTTCTGTGTTCAGTGTTTTCTTACCCCGATTTGATTTTTATAGATATTTTCATCGATGATAGTTTAGTATGAAACGTGAGCTTATTTTGAAAACATTAAAAAAAAAGATCGTAGAAAAAGTTTTATAGTGAAAAAAATTTTTATAACACGGAGAGGCAAGCAAAAAAAGATATATGAAAAATAAGGAAACGAAAATAAAAATTTAATATCAAAAACGATAAAATACTCGAGCCTCGATCACAAATCGTTATCAATAATTCGGATCATAAAAATATTATATATTTTAATAAAACAATTCAAATATTCGACTTGATGTGACATTTCTGTGTGTGTTTAATGTGTGTAGGCAGCAGTTCATCCACTTCGTAAGTTTTTTTTTTCTCGTGGTTTTTTTCCTCTATTTTGTGCAAAAAAAAAATTGAAGAAGAAAGTAAGAAAAAAATATGAAATATGTTCATGTGTAGATAAAATGGAATTTTTATATTTTCTCATTTCTTTTGAGAATCACACACAACACAACAACAAAAAAATAGCCGGAATAAATTTTTTTTAAGAAGGCGCATGTCCATAAGCATGTCCCCCTTATCCATACCATCAGTTCTTCTTGTCCCGCTGTGTATTTGCCGTGCTCTCACTCTCTTAGTTCATATCACATGAAAGAATTGATACACATGTATAGGTGGTGCTGATTGTGTTTAAAAAAATGAAAATAAAAATGAGGCAAAATTCTGCCTTCTCATCCCTCTCACACATTCTGTCTCCCCATACCATCCATCTATCCATTCATCCATCTCTCTCACAGAAAAAGAAAAACTTTCTCCTTCTACACAAAAAAAAATTTATATTGAGATTTTTAAAGCAAAAAAGGAAAAATAAGATCTCACTATATGTATGTTTGCTCGATGGTGGTGGCTACTCAACCTCCTCAAATCATCATCACTACTGACATATAAGTTAGTTCTCTACACGCACCATACATATCACACATATGAGAATGAGAGAGACTATGTGCTGTTTCACTACAAGAAGTATAAGAAATATATAGTATGTAAAGCATACTAAGCACAATCTTATATTTTTTGTGTGGCAGCAGGCGCGCAAAAAAAAGAAAAGGAAGAAGGCAATGGAAAAGTTTTTATTTTGTAGTTTTTAATGGAATGTATACACATATACACTACTTATGTATGTTAAACCATTTATGTAGAAATGTATGTGGTGGAAAAATAAGAAAAAGGAAGAAAAGGAAGAAAAAAAATAGAGCAAGAAAATTTCGTAAGGGTCCAAAAACCGAGAGAAACAACAATTTTTATTCGTATCGATTAATTTTTCTTTATTTTGAGGGAATTTCTCATGTTTATTTTACAATATTTTTATTTCGCCCTCAAAAATAAAATACATTCATTCAAGTGGCATATTGATTTTTTTTTTTGAAAAATGGCTTTAAGTAAGAGAAAGAATAACAAAAAAACTATTGGAACTCAGAGAACGCGAATGTTGACGAATTTATGTTTTATAAATCTGCATTCGAATTTTTTTCTTCAAATTTTTAAATAAATTTTACATGCCCTCAAAATTATAGAAATCAGACAATTTTTATTCAAAAAAATCAGGACATCCCTCACCCCCCGAAAATAAATATAAAGGAGAACGGAAAAAAAAGTTTGATTGATTGGTTGGTTGAGTCAAAAGTTAAGTTTTCTTCTTCATTCTTTTCATTAATTTTCAAATAAAAATTCATATATGGAAAGCATGCCATGGATGTATGCACACTATTTTTATTTTTATTGTACTGAGTAAAGATACTTATTGAAAAATCATTTTTCTTTCTATTATTAATGCTTTTGCTATTGTTGTTTATCATATAGTTTTCAACATGCATACATGCTCAATATTTATTCTCTACGCATGAATTTGTACATAAATATTACATTTCCATCAAATAATCTAAACGTCTATACCAACCAATCCATCTATATATCCATCCATAAATGATGATTGAATTTTTTAATGAAAATTTATTCAAATTTTATTTGCCTTTTTTTTATTCACTCAATTTTCAAATGACCTTCGATATACTGTTTATTGCTGCTACCCATTTTATCGTGTCAGTTAAAGAGGAAAATTTATTTTCTTGTTCGCTTCTTTTGATATCAATTAATTCTCTATAAAATGTTCCTAAAACGTTAAAATGTCAATTGGCAAATAAATTCTTATGAAAAATTGGAATTAAATTGAAATGTCAAAAGTGTGCCTAAAACTTCGTTTTAAAAATCCATTTTGCTGACTGATAGCTTCAAAGTAGGTTATAAATTGTGGTTGAAAATTCTTAGTTCTATGAATGAATGTAAAATGTCTTTAATAATCATCACTAAAATATTGTTTTAAAGAACGAAATTTAATAATAATCCTTATGTCTTTACAGAAAATGATGGCAAGTTTATATGCAACACCACCACCAGATACGACAACACCAAATGCAACATCATCTACAAATATAACGTCAGCGAGTACTGTCGATTTAAACGGCGAAGACACATCAGTATTAAGCGACACTTCTAATTCATCGCAGACAAATAGTTCAGTAAATAGTTCGCAAAATCATCAAAAGGCACCCAAACGCTCAATTCTCGTTACATCGCCATCCACGTCAGTGAATAATTATCCATTACTTGGGAGTCTTTTTGATTCAACACCTGACTTATCGAAGAAGCGACGAAAACAAACGACACCGATAAGGATATCAGCAACAGCTTTTGAATTACAGCAACAGCAGCAAAATCAAAATAATATTAATAACAGTAGTAATAATAATATAAGCAGCGGAAATGAGTCCATAAATACCAATGGATTACTTACAACAACAGCAGCATTTCAATCTTCATCAGATATCACGGAAATAAATGACGATGGTGATGATGACAATGAATCAGGAACATATACAACAAATGGTGAGAAAGGAATGCCACAAATCTCATCAGTTTCGTCCGTACCATCGACAATTGAGAATGATGGAAATCTTCAAAAGATTTTTTTGAAAAATTTAAGTCAATTACAAGCAGCGGCAGTAGCTCAACACCATTCAAATAGTCTAAGTAATAATAACAATAATTCAAATACAACCAACAATAATGAAGCATCAATATTGAACGAGAACTCTCGAATCATATCACATCAACAATTATCGCCAGCAGCAAAACTTTTACGCGGTTCTCTTTCACCATTACAACCATTAAATTTAAATAACAACAGCAGCAGCAGTAATCAAAATGGACAACATCATCATGATGGAGAGTTATCGAAGCCTCACGACTTTGAAAATGACATTGAAGTCGAGTATCATAATAAGTTTTTGAAGACAAATAGTAATTTACATTCGAATGACAAATCGCCACTAGACAATGATTTGGTTGGGAAAAGTGGATCATCATGGAGTGAAAAGCAAGATAAGAAACCATCAGAAAGTGATTCTTGGCTTTCATTGGCTTCCTTGCCTTTTCCATTTCCTTCCGAAGCAGCCGCAGCAGCTGCTTTGTCGGCTGGCTATCTTCCACAACTTCCACTTCTTTCTGGTGTGGGTCCTTTTGGATCAGAAGGAGTTTTATCGCGCGGTGCAGCACCATTAAGAATATTTAATCCTGAAGCATATTGTGACTTGTGCAACAAAGAGTTTTGTAACAAGTACTTCCTTAAAACACACAAAGCAAATAAGCATGGAATTTATGAACCAATGACACCAATGACAAGTAGTGATATGCCAACATTAAATCAATTAAATCAGATGCAACAAATGATGCAATTACAACAACAATCAATGCAACAACAATTCAGTCAAGCTCAGCAAAATGCTCAACAACAAAAGTCTCAAATGATGGCAGCAGTAGCTGTCGTAGCACAACAGCAACAACAAACTTCTTCGATTCCAATTCAAGTTCAAGAGCCACCACAAAGTGGAAACAATTCACTTCCTTCAAACGGACCTCCAAATGCCTTTTGTGACATTTGCTTTAAAAAGTTTTCATCTCCAGCTGCATTGAAAAAGCATCGTTTGAAAATCCATGAAATTGGAGTTGTAAAAATAGAAAATATAAAAGGATCATTGAATGGACCGACTCCTCCGTTGTCATCATCATCGTCTAACATTATGCCACCACAAACACAGCCAGTGGAATTAACAACAAAATCACATAATAATAGCAGTAATAATAGCAATGATGATCCACATGGACAGTTGATAGATGAAATGAAAGAGACACAGAATCAAAATATTTTGCCACTTCCATTTAACTTTCCTGAAGGTTTCCGTGAAGATTTTCAGGTTGAGCAAGAAGATGCCAGTTTTACACCAGAGCCACGTAAATTGTCACCAGCATCAATTCAGCAGGCGAGAGATGCCAATTTTTCCTACGACAAATTAAAGCGTTTGGGTGTCATTAATCCTGAAGCTTTTTGTGAACTATGCTGTAAGGAATACTGCAATAAATACTTTTTGCGTACACACAAATTAAAGCGTCATGGAATTTTCCTACCAATCGATGACATCAAAGATATGGATAGTGCTCGAGCATTGTGGCCATACATGCAAACAAATCCATTGAATTTAATTATGGGTGGGGATTTGAAAGCTTTACAAATGTATGCAAAGAAGCAGAAGGAGGTAGAGCAACAAAATCATGAAAATTCTGATCAAAGTGGTGTCATAAAAATTCCATCACCGTCTCCATCATCCAATGATGATGAAATGATGAAGGATGACGATGGTCAATCAAATCCAGCCGGAGTGACTAGCATGAAAGGTGACGAAGCAGACGACGACATGGAGGAAAATTTGAAGAGAATTGGGGGCAAAACATCGCCTTTATCACAAATACCACAATTGACGCCACAAGAGTCCGAAGCGATTAGCGTCGATTTACAAAAGCTTCAATCAATGATTTTACAGTTGAATGAACTTAATCAAAATCGTTGTATGCCATGTGCAATTTGTGGTAAAGAAATGGAAAATCAATACATGTTACATGCTCACATGTTGGCCGAACACTCTGGCTTTACAAATAATAATTCCATTAAGCTCTCACCACGTCCATCATCCATTCCATCACCATCACCAAATGAATTTGAAGTGTGTAAGCAATGTGATAAGGAATTTTCAAATATCTTTTTGCTCAAGCAACATTTAATGGAACACCACGGTATGCCACCGTTATCACCAACAACCTTAAGGGGAGAGGGCTTTATTACACCCGATCGTAAGACATCGAATCAACACATTTTAAGTCAGCCAACAACACCAACACAAAATGACCGTAAACCAATGTTCCAAATGACACCGACAAGTAGCTATTGTGAGATTTGCAATAAGGAATTGTGCAACAAGTATTTTATGAAGACCCACATGCAACGAATGCATGGAATAGAAATTGAAAATGGAGCTCAAATTGGTGGTGTTGTCTGCAATATTTGTAATAAGGAATTATGCAGTAAATATTTCCTTCGTGTCCATAAGCACAATACACACGGAATTGTTGAAGATGGATCTCCACAACAACGTCCGGGTAGTGAATCTATTGATTCTGATAATGGCTTCCAATTGGACTTAAAACCTGGGGAAGTATCTGATCAATCTAATCGTTATTTCTCACACTTTACTGAAGTTTGTCCACTTTGCTCACGTCGCTTCCGTAGTGCTAAATGGTTGAAGGCACATTTAATGAGTGATCATGGAAAGGCTGGTCTCGATAAGCTCAATGAAATTGAATCTAAAATTGGCATCATCAAAGGACCACCAAGTCCTGGCATAAAAATTCCAAACGGAGGTTATAATCTTTCATCACCCGATTTGATGATCAAAACATCCCTTGGAGGATTATTCTCAGGTGATAATTCAATGGCAACATCACCAAGTGGCTCTCAAAATAATCCATTAAAGGGTTATCAGTGCTCATTTTGCTCATTCTCGACTCCAATTTTGGCAATTTTATTCATACATGAGCGCTCTCATCAAGCCAGCAATACAGCAATGAATTTAATTCAAAATCAAAATAAATCAGAAAGTGCTGTTTCAATTGCAAAGGAATTATCAAATTCACAACATCCAACGCCAGGTGTCTCTTCTCCATCATCGACACCTGCCTCAACGCCCATACCGTCAACTCCACAAGAGTCAAATAGTGGCAAGACAGAAATGAATAATTTAATGGAAAACTTTCCACCCATCATGCATTCACGACCATCAGTTGGATTGCCGCAAGAAGCTGGTCCATTGGTTATGCAATCATTCTTACTCGAGGAATCGATGTTTACAAAGTCATTGGTTAATGGCAAAACAGGTACGATGAATGATAATTATAAATTTATTCCATCAATGGTTATATTGCCGGTACGTGAACGTATTTCGTCACCAGTAACAATTTCATTTACTCTCACACCGGCTTAAATTGACATGAAACAATGTATTTCGTTCTAATTGAAAGAAATTGATGCTTCATAAATTAATTATTTTCAAGAGAAAAAAAAAAGTAAAACAAAATTGATAAAAATTTCATCTTACAAAAAGTAAGAAGATTACTGCTGCAAATTAAAAATAATACGAGATAAACTCTGCTGCAAAGAAAAATTAAAAATTCGAAAGCTGCTGCTGCAAAATGAAGAAAAACAGTGAAAAGAAAAAAAAATTAAAAAGTGAAAAATTTTAGTTGCATTGAATGTAAAATTGAATTGATTTATTTATATTGAACTTTAGTAGATGAATGAATAATAATGAATGATTTAATTACTTGGTGATTGTTCTTCAACAAAGTTCCTAAAAAATTATAAATAATTTAAAAAATTTGAAGAAGAAAAGGAAAAATTTTAATTTTCTTTGATTTTACGAAAAGAGAAAAAAAAATAATTTCGTTAATTTAGTAAGAAAGTATTGTGGTAGTCAAATTATATATTAATTAAAATACTTTTCAAAAGAGACATGAAATTATACGGAAAAGTGCAAATTAACTCATGAATTGATAATTGTTTGACTTTCGAAATCATTATTGACTAAAGTCAAAAAGTTAATAATTCATGTGTCAAACTTACACAAATGCACTTTATCCTCGATATGCAAAAAAAATGAAATTTTTGAAAAATTTTCAATGAAAAAAAAAATAACTGAAGAAAAATATTTTTTGCTCAAAATAGTTTGAAGGCTGCAGTCGAAATCACATGAAAACCTGCACTGATGATGAAATATTTATATTTTTTCGTTCGCAAACTTGACGAGCTTAATCAAAAAACAAACAAAAATTGAATAGAAACAAGGAAAAACTCACAAAAAAAAGCTCGGAGAGAAAACTCCAAAAATTGAACAAAAATTTGATGGACTTAAAAAAATATTTTAAAAAAATGAGTAAAGGAAAATTGAGTGGCAATTGAAACTATATAAAACATATTAATAATCCCCAAATACGTATTTCAATGAAAACAGAAAAATTTAAAAATTTTAACCATAAATGATAAAAAAAAGTGTAAAGATTTAGAAAAAAAAAACATATTCATTTAGTAAAAAAATGAGGAATCATCGTTCGCATAAGTTTTGAGCATTATGTTAAAAATATGATCTACATCTTCCCAAAAAAAAAATAAAAGAAATTATAATTCATTCCATACATTATTCATTAGATGATAAAAGTTTTAGGAAAATAGATGAAAAAAAAAAATATTAATTCATTCCATTACGTAGTGACAATTAATTAGATTTCAATTGATAGTTGCAGTTGATTATTCCCGTTTATTATTTATTTTAAAACCGTAAAATAACCAACGTGTACTGCTTCATTTTAGTCAATTAATGTTTTTAACTGAATATTAATTGAAAAATTAATTTATTAAGCTTTCAAATCTCCTTCGTTATTGCCAATGCTTTTGTCGATAACTTTGTAACCAAAATCATTAGAAAGATCTGCCATCCTACAAGATCAAACGATGATTCTTAGAGTTTAAATGATGAACTCAAAATATTCTTCCAATATGTTCATTTGATGATAAATACACAAAAGTGTTTAAGGATCTGACAAGCTTTAGTTTTCTTTAAGTTGATCATTGATTTCGGTTACAATTTTATTCTATTACTATCAGAACATCCTTGTAAGCATAACTTGAATTTGATATTAGTTTTGTATGAAATCTAGTCGATTAGATTTGGCTTTTTTATACAAATTTCTAGTCAAATTCAAGATCTGCTCAGGAGATATAAGACATGCTCATTGACAGGCTTAAGTAAAAGTCATTGTTATAATTAAAGTATTTTGCATGTATATAAATGAAGGATTAAGAAGTGAAGCAAACAGTAAATATTTTTATCACTCAGGGTTCTTAATGTTAGTACAACAGTTACCATAAAATATCCGTATGATCCCAATATAAAGTTAATTAATGATTAAATTCAGCTAGCCATATTTTTTTTGAAATTACACAATCTCTTTATAAATTTAAGCATTGCCATAATTTTTACCTCAATCTAAAAATCTCTAAAATGCAGCTACCCTAATATGCAGACAGTACTGCCAAGATGCAGATGGTACTGTTAAAGTGCAGATGAAATTTATTTTCCCTAAAATGCAGATGAAATGCTGTTGCTTTAAAAAAGGTATAATGCAGATGATTTTTATCGTATAAAGTGTAGATAAGATGCCGCCCAAATGTAGATCGTATAATTTTATTAAAATAAAGATGAAATGCTGTTATAATGTAGATAATTTAAAAGGTCACAGAAGAAAAGTTTGTGCCTGAAATTTTACATCATTTGCAAAAAAACAGATTTCAAATTGGTTGCGGCATTGCTGAGAAATTAGCAAAATACGCTTTCTGTAAGCAAACAAGCAAGCAAGTTAATCAGCAAGAAATCTCAATAACGAGACATCGAAGAGACTTCTAGTTTTTTTACATTTGATCCGTGCTGCTCTATAGATAGCTGTATTGTTTTTGGGCAAGGTAGGAACAGCCGTTGCTTCAGAGAAAGCAAAAAACTTTCCTTTCTTACGAATTTTTCAAAACAAAAGTTTATTGTGATTTTTATAAAATTAAACTTTGGATGAAAAATGTTTTTAAAAAACTTTAAAGAATGCTCGTTAAGCTTTAAATCTCCAAACATATTCCGAGCACAGCTCAGCTGGTTCGCTAGCTTAATACCTTCAAACTTATGCTGAGCGAAGATCAGTTTACTCGCCAAACTTTATACCTTCAAACTTATGCTGAGCAAATATTGGTCTATCCATAAGACTTTTGATGGTACGGTGCGAATATATCCGCATTGGGTTTCTACCCGATACACTAGTTTTGTTATTAAAAAAGTTACAGGAAAGCAAATATGCATTTTTGAATACATTGCAAGCTTTATGACTTTAAATTACTTTGCTACACGAAATTTTGATGTAATTAGCATGGAGGGGATTTAAATCATTTTAATAAGTGATTTATTTTTGATTTATGATTTAAATCATTTTGTATGGGGATTTTTTTGGGATTTTAAATCACTTGAAGGTGAAAATTTGTATGGATTTTTTTTTTATTAACACGTTTCAAGAAAAAAAGTCATCTAATATGATGTATTTTGATAAAATTATACGATCTACATTTGGGCAGCAACTTATGCAACGATAAAAATCATCTGCATTATACCTTTTTTAGGGAAAATAAATTTCATCTGCACTTTAGCAGTACCATCTGTATCTTGGCAGTATTATCTGCATATTAGGGTAGCTGCATTTTAGGGATTTTTAGATTGAGGTTAATTTTTAATGTATATGTTCTTCTAACAGATACGCTCAATGATAAAAAGAATCAACCAATCAATACCTCAAAAATGAATAAAAATGTTATAATCAACAGTTTGCAATCTAATAATTAACTTATTTTTGCCATAAATTTTTTTCACGTATTTTTTTTTTCATTTTTTATTTTATGTAAATAGTGATAAGAACCGATAGGAGATTAAACGTATCTAGTCAAATTTTTACATTCCGTAAATGCCATATATTAATTCCGTATGAGAAAAAAAATATGAAAAATATTGATATATTAAAAGAATATAACATAGTAATGAAAATATGAAATAATCAGCAGGGACAGAAATTTAAAGTTACCATTTTCCATAGATTTTTAAGTTACTGCATTTATTTTTAAACTGCACTCTTATAATAACTCATAATTCAGTCAAAAATCGTGATAATTCAGTTAAATATTTTTTTTCTTAAATTTCAAGAAAATTAATTTTCAAATATCTGTAAAATTCAACAAAAATTTAAAAAAAAATATTTCTAGTCAAAATGTAACAATAATAACTAGTCACTACCAAAACGAAGGAAAAAAAAACTAATGAAACCCATAGACTTCAAAAAAAACTGAGCAAATTGTGAAGAAAAAAAAACAAATTTCATTGATCGTCAAAATAACATGAAGAAACCAAAAGTGTTTAATTAAGTATGAAAATTTCACCAAATTTTTGTAAATAAGTTGCCATTAAATTTAATTTCTTCATATGAAAGAATCAAATGATTAAGTTAAGTTATCATTTAAGTCACAACACGAAACAGATGAAAAATCTCGCTGTGCAGATATAGGGCACTAGAATATCCACAGATAACAGCAAGAAGTAGAAGAAGAAGGAAAAAAAAACGATGAAGAAATATTTAATAAGCAAAGACACCAAGATACGGCGGTTGCTAATAAAACAAAAATTATGTGAAGAAAATTACAAATTTTAAAAAATTATTTATTAGCTGTGTGCCTTTTGTAGCAATTGCCATACATTTGGTGTTGTGCAAAAATTATTGGAGTACATCGCAATTAAACAAAGAAGTAAAGTAAATTTTGTGGCACTATATCAAGGTGATGCAAGATAATAAATATTGTAATAATGTACGTAAATGAGCGAGATATGACGATTCATTTTAATTTTAGCTTTTTTTCTGCCCAAAAAGTGAAACCCAAAAAAATGCGAAATGCTTTATGGCAACCAACTTTTTTTTGTTCGATATCATTAAAATGAGGAGATAAAAAAGCGGAAAAAATTATTTAATTAAATCGGGTGATATACACAACAAAAAAAAATAAAATATTAATTATTAAATTCATTTTCACTGTCGCAAAAATTAAAATAATAAAATTTCTGTTGTTATTCCTCATTTTAACAAAATCACAAAATTAAATAAAATTTTTATAATCATTTTATGTCTCATGAGTGTGCTCATAAAGCATAGAAAAACTGCCAACCATTATAAAATGCAAAATTAACAGTAATATGCAATAAAACATGCATGTGACATACACAAAAATTATCGGGCATAAAAACTGCTGCACAAAATGTTCAATAAATCATCAATCGATCGATATGCTGCCTTAATAATGAAAAATTCTTAATGAATAAGAGAGAAAAAAAGTAGGGAAACGAGCTACTTGAAA